TGCTGCTGTGCATTTCTAAGACCTGGATACATTACTTGCTTAAATAAGGAATATTACCCATGGATGTGTGTGTGTGTGTAGTAATTGTGAAAAAGGTAGGTAGAAAATTCATTTTTATACTTTTGTTCTTGTTTGTCTTCCACATTTTGTGCTTATAAGCTTAATATGCTTTCAAACATTTTAACCAAGTGTGTTTTTCTTCAGCTTCTGCAATAATCCTAACTAACAGCTGGAGCCCCTGGGGTGAGATTTCAAGTGCCAGCGTAGGAGACAGAGCAACGATGTAATGCCAAGGGCCCCTACCAGCCCCAGGCATCCTTGGAGTGCCAACACATGAAGCTCTCTTTGAGAAACTAAGAGATTTATTGAGCTCTCAGGCGCAATCAGTCACCTTCTGGAAGTATTCATCCCACCTGCTGACAGGGTAAGGACCGTCTGGAACCAGGATCCTAATTTTTATTCCTCTATGAAGTGCTTGAAGTTGGGCTGTTTGAAGGGCACTGCTGCCATTATGTAACACAGAAACCCTCTGATATCTTCGGGAGAGATCTTACAACACATTCTGAGCCATATCTTTGAAACTACCTTACCCAGTGTGACATGTCTTAAGACCATTTTTTTTCATTTTATTATTTTTAAACAAGTCTTAGGCTTTGAAGAGATCCTCCTCTGAAGGACATTCCCAGCCATGTTCACATAAGGAGTCTCTGTGTTTTCCCTAAGGGACAATTCCCATGCAACACAGCATCACGTTGAAGACTGCTGTATTCCCACAGAGAATTTTTCCTTTTCTAACAGGATCATGAGCTCTTACAAATCACAAGACCAATAAACTCATTAAATGCCAGTTCATTAAGTCTTAAATGGAAAAAAGACTGTCTAAAGACGTCTAAAGACAACGTCTAAAAATGTTGTCAGAAGAGCAGAGCCCAACACAACCATACACGTTTCTGCCCCCACTGGGAAAGGAACCTTTCACTTAGGCTACAGATATTCAAACAATCATAGCAGAAGCAGAACCGGTGAATGTGTCTTTATACACAGTTCCTCATATTTAGAAAATGAGAGGGACTGAAATATAGATGGTCCTACTTGAATGTAGCCTAGCACTGGAAAGGACAGCCACAGATAAGGACTAATACAGCAAGTTCTCTTCACTGTAGAATACAAACCCTTGAAAAGCTGAGATACACTATCACAGTAAACATAATTAGTTTCTCTCCTCATCTCCTAATGAATGGGGAAACAATCCATTCAGGATCTGGCTCTCTGCTCCGTGAGATGCTGCCTACACATCCACCTCACCTCACCCCATAATGCGATTGAATTCCAGTGCCTGTATACAAGGGACATCACTTACACCTTTCTCTTTTCATCCCTCCCTTTTTATTTAGTCTTTAAAAAGACTTTCCTAAAAGTCTGTAAAGGCCACTGAGAATATGTTCACCAGCTAACGAAACACTGCAAGAAGCATCTTCTCATTTGAAACCTTAAGCTTAGCAATATTAAAGATGCATCCACAAGAATTTCCAAGCATTAGTTGAAGAAATGCAACTGATTGAATTATTTCAGACAGTTGGAACACCTGCATTGCAGTTACATTTAAAATTCAGTTCATACACTAAGCCAACTTTGTGAGTCATGAATTTCATTGTTTCTCAAGTACATTTGGAACCAGACAAAGGAACCTCAGTTTAGGATCCTATCTCTTCACTAATTTTATGATGACTTCTTTTGATATTTCCAGTTTAGAAAAAAACAACAAAACGAACACACAGAACAAACAATAAAAACAAACAAAAAAACCCCATGCCTACTGCTATCACAACTGAATGAAATGAGAAATACAGTGAAGCGGCAGTGAACGGGGGGCTATAAGAATGAAGGGGACAGACAGTATCAGTGACAGCACAAGGTGAAATGGTTTCAAACTGAAAGATTTAGAGTGGATGTAAGGAAGAAGCTGTTGCCAATAAGGTGGTGAGGCACTGCACAGGTTGCACACAGAGGTGGTGATGCCCCATCACTGGAGACACTCAAGGTTAGGGGATGGGGCTGTGAGCACTGATGGAGCTGTGGATGTCCCTGTGCACTGCAGGGGAGTTGGAGCCTGAAAGGTCCCTTCCAACTCAACCAATTCTATGATTCCATGAATTCAGAATGAAAATAAATGAGGTAAAAAAAAAAACGGATGTGCAAACGAAAGACAAAACACAGAAAATGATGTAGCTGCAGTGCAATTTTGCACTGAAAACAAGCACCCTAGCTAACAACAACAACAAAAGGACTAAAAACGTCTAAAATATCAAAATGGATTTTAGTTAGGAAAACATTTTAAGTGGGAAAAAAGTAGATTTCTGAATTTGCTGTCAAGGAGTTTTCTCTACAGACCTAACAGGTCCCACTCCTCCAGATCTTGTTTTAAATCCCAGGCGGTAAATAGGAAGGTGGAATACCTTTGCAGCAAGCAAATATTAAAGTTTGTTAAACATACCAGAAACCACCCTAATCTCTGATAATTATAACTGTCCATGTCTATATATGGCCACGTCTAAATATTTATACATATAGTATTTTCTCGGGATTTGATCTGGCCCTAGAACTGAGGGCACCTAGAACATTCCATCAGGACACTTCTTGCCTTTTTTCTTTGACCTTTTCATGATTGTGGACATTAGTTTGGGTGGACAATCAATTGTTGAAAGCAAAAACTGCACATCCAAGCCACCACACAGATTCAGGAGCTCATGGGATGGAACTAACCCACAGCCATAAAAAACAGCTCTCCTTGAAAGTAAATGGTGATCTCTTGAACACTACCAGGTGTGGTAAGAGAAGGCAGAAGAAAACTTTTTAAGGAACCCTTCAGAGGATGAGATGACAATCAAATTGACTCAAGCTTTTCATTCTCACCCATTTTGTAGAAAATCTCTATATCTGCATGATAGAATGATATCAATTTAAGGACACTGGCCCAGCATATCAGAGATGGTTCAAAGAGAAAGCAAGACTCAACAGAGGGAAAACGTTACCATGATAAGCATGATAAAAACTCTCAGCAAAGGAAGAACCATACATAACATTACCCATTCCTGAGCTCTTGTCCTTCGAAACAAACTGTAGAAGAATGTATACTACACACAAATTAAGGTACCACATCTGTCACAGGACTAAGTCTCTTCACTGACCAAAGAAGTGTGTATGCATATACACAAGTTCACTTTGGAATCACTAATTTTATTACCTGGCTTCCTAGAGATTATGAGAAAGTCCTGCAGTCATAAAAAAAGCTGAAGTAACCTCACGTACAAAACCATACTCACTAACTCTGGTTTGCTTCACAGAATTTCATTAGGGAGCTGTTCAATCCAGAAGCTGGAGCAGATCGCTAATTATCCAGCTCAGCGATCACAGTTATGTCCTGAAATGCTAAGAACTGGAAGCTTGCTGTCCTTTTACATTCATCAGGAAGGTCATCCATCTTCTAAAAGCTCAAGAAATACATTTAGACGCATTTATTTTCCTTAATTAAAAATAGTTCACTTCTAAGTAAGAAGATACCTGCTGTCTGTCTCAAGCTGGACGCCAATAATATTGAAATGCCGAAGATCACTGGCCATTAAAAAAAATCCTTTTGCCTTTCAGCTCACATGATCACATACATGAGTTTGTTCCAGTCTGAAAAATGTGATTTCTTACCCAGAAATACAGCAGCTCTACCAATCTGCTCTCCAATTTCACCTAACATAGGATGCATCTCATTGACATTCATTCCTGAATCAACACTGAGCTTGTCCTAGGCTTAGCAGTAAGGTGGGAGCTCCTAAGGGACTGCTGCAAATAATGCCATCTACCTGCCCAAGGAAGTTAAGTAATAGAATACTCAACATATGAGGGGAAAAAAAAGAAATTATGTCAGGTATTTATAAAGTGAGGTGCTAAATTATTTAGATGAACATTCTCATTCTAAATAATATATCTGAATAACGCTACACTTCAGATTTGTAGTCAATTAAAGTGGCCTCTAAATAAGACCCGAGAGGAAAGAATGTGCATTCGTGTGTGACAAAATTAAGAGGAGTGCAATATGCTGACTCTTTCACATTGCAAAGTTACACAGTCAATATGCATGAGCAAGAAACTTTAAATACTGTTAAAAGATACTTTGGTCACATCACAATTTAAGAATTTAAGCAGTTCTTACTTAAAAATAAAACCAAAATTTATTTCAATAATATTTTAAGATACTACACTTGGATAGCAAAGAATAATATGCATTTGCAAAGCATTTGTATGGAAGCAACAGAAACCTTTTAATAAGAATCAGATAGAGCATTTAAGTAGTAGTGCTGTTTCTCACTGCATTCCTTTGTGAAATGCTTCCTGAGACGTAATGAAAAGCAGTTATGATCAATGATCCAGCCAAGGGCTGAGCTGAAATGCAAGATGGATTTATTATACAGGTTGTATACCATTGCCTATGGTTGCAAAGTGCAAAAAAAAAAACAACATGCTTTATTCAATGTTCTTACAGTTTTTATAGGAGTCTAGATAGAGACACAATGCAGATGGGGGCAGTGGGCAAGCATATACTAATATGATCAATCCCCTGACATGTGCTAAGACTGAGCAATTCAAAGGATAGCACATTATTTGGTCACTAAAGATTCACATCCCAAATAAATCCCTGTCCTGTTCATAAAAAGCCCTATATGTTCATCAAAGTGACTAACGAGTTGGAGAGCCACTATCTTTAAGGCCCACCTGCATGTTTTCTGAACACTGACCATATGAAAATGGAGGCAACAAAAAGTATTGGCTGATACCTCAAGGCTTCGCAGTCCAATTGCATCAACAAAGGAAGCTAGAGAACGCTTAATAGAATCCATTCGGCCACACAGAAACAAAGCCAGAGCTCAGAGCCTTCATTGTTAGCAAGTGCTACTCTTGGGAACACATATTTAAATAATGGCAGTGTAAATAAGAACAACAATCCTTACCACGGGAAGCAATATGAGAGTGAAGAAGCAGTTCTTCCAACAGATGGCCATCTTTGTCTCTTGACTTTGATCTTTAGTCAAGCTTAGCTTCTAACAGTTAATTAGGGCTGAAGCACACACTCTCTGCAGGTCTTCTTGTCAATGTCTTCATGTCAAGACTCAAACCTCTGCAGTGAAAGAGAAAAATGATTATGAATATAACAAACATGGAAGAGGTACAAAAAAGAAACAGAAAGAAAGCAGAGACCACAACACTTGAACTGAGTTACATATATTAGAGGTCAGTAATAATTGTCTGGATTGCAGTTATTACAGATCATCTAGGATATTAAATTTGAAGCCAAAGAACATGGCTGTATGATCAGTAGCTTGCATCATAGAAAGTGCTGGAAGAGATTCTCTAACAGCAGTTCTATTGTATCTATAGGGAAGGAATAATGGAACATTTTGAGCTGGTCAGAGGGTCTGTATGCTTCATTTCTGCAGTCATGATTTCACAGAATCACAGAATCAAAGAATGGTTGGGTTGGAAGGGATCTCAAGGATCACGAAGCTCCAACCCCCCACCAATGCAGGGCCACCAACCTCCACATTTCACAGCAGCCCAGGCTGCCCAGGGCCCCATCCAACCTGGCCTCCAACACCTCCAGGGATGGACGGGGCATCACAGCCTCTCTGGGCAGCTGTTCCAGCCCCTCACCGCTCTTCTGTAAAGAACTTCATCTTCTTAATTTCAGTAAAGGCTCAAAATCACGACTGAGGGTTTCTTAAGAGGCTGTACAACTTGGTGATTTCTTCCCAAAGATCACTGGTCCAGATAACAAAATTCATGCCAGGAGTTGTTAAGAATCTGAGAGCTTTTTGAAGTAAGAGGAATGGGAAGGAATGAATTGTGCTCTCTTAGGCTTAGAGATCTCACCTTGATGCCCTACCATCATGTTTTAAAATGAATTTGCCCATTACCTGAGATGGAACCCCTTCATTTTAACTCTACCTTATAGACCTCTTTCCTCTAAGATGAACTCACTTCGAGGTCTTCTGCCTACAGAAGATTAGACACAATTTGTTTCCTTAGGAAAGTATGGGAGTTGAGCCCTTGGGCATGAGCTGTGCCACACCAGTTTGTCTCAGGGACAGAGAACTACTCTTATATATTTTGTTTACATCTGTAAATGAAAACTTTGAATGCAGAGGTGCTTTTCAAACTCTTATTGTGTGATGCAGGTTTTCTATACACCACCATTCATCACCTATGCAGGCATAAACATGACTGACATCTTCCTAACAAGAGAAATGTTTATAGAGGTAAGTAAATGTTTGAGAATGGAAAAACAAAAACAAACAAACAAAAAACCCTCATAGGTACAGGACATGTAAACAACTACAGAAACAATAAAACACTTAAAAATCAGAATGTGGGAAAAAAAGAGAAAAGGCTGAAAAGAAAACAGACCAAAGACAGAAAGAAAATAAAGGAGTGCCAAAAGCAAATGTGAAAGAACTTTCACAGTCAGTGGGTACTCCATTTTTATATTAATTGCAACATACAGCCAAGATATCAGCATTTAGAAAGTAGAGTCTTTCAATTAAAAAACAGAACAGAAAATTAAGTTCTCTTTAGATTTTTGTCTTCTCTATCCAGACTCTGACTAAATGGAGAACAATGATTCATAAAATTCTCTCTGATCTGCCTTCTTCCATCCTCACTCGATCAGTCACTCTCAGTCCACTCTGGTACTGAATTTAATTACTTAACTGCATTTCTGATGGTTTATCAAATAATGAAGGATTGATAAGATCTCAGCTGAGGAGGAGAATACATCCATGGTGACATTCAGTAGTGAAAAGATGGAAAAAGAAAGTCTCTGCATTAACAGAAGCAACAGACAACCAGGCAGCCACATTAACAGACATTTGGATTTGAAATCACTTCTTGATAATTTGCAACTCCAGCCAGAAAGGCCAAAGAATGGTGTGGAGATTGAGTTTTGTCCTTGGATTTTGCCACTGTAATGAGTCAAAAACAAGACTTAAAAGCAACGGAAGAGTGGGAGATGGTTGACTAAATGGATGGAAGGATAACCTGTGGTAAAGTGGTAACCCTCGGAATACACTCTTTCCAATGGTTGAAGATCCAGCTTTACTTTAACCTGGCATTCACTAGGTTAGAAGAGTGGAAAAAGGCTGCCTTCTATTTTTTTCTGTTAGCTTCAAAGAAATTTCTGAAGATGTGAGAACATCTGCTAACCATTTTGCTGTGTTTCTTTGACATTTTACAGAGAAAAAGAATCAGCTTCATTTTTTTTTGCCTTCAAGGTAGTTATGGAAACCGACATCAAGAATTGGACTGAGGTCTCTGTGTCATCCACATAGAAGCCCAAACATTTTTTTAGATAATAGCAACCAGGCCTATGAACCTGTGCCCTGGACCTCAGAGAAATCTGTATATAATGTGCAGCAGCTCCTGTTGTGTTTATCACACATAGGTGCAGAGACAACCCATTAGCAACAGAAAGATAATTAACTCACAAATAAGTACATTCAGCCAATCATTATGAGAAAAACTTTTCAGAAGTAGGGACAATGTCTATGAAGCATTTCCATCTCCATTCAGTACTGCGAGAATAAATAAAAATATGAATACAAGGCTTGGAAGGAAAGTCTGAATGATCAAAAAGACTTCATAAAGCCACATCACGTAGTTTCATTTGTAAACTGGAGATGTTAGTGCTTCATGTTGTCGTTTTATCTGCATCTGCTACCATAATTAAAATCTGTGAAGCCAGAATAGCCCACAGCACAAGGGTTGCACACATGAAGGAAAAAAATATTATCCTTACAGGGCTTCAGAGAATTATTTCAAGCACAGCTGAAACACAGGGATTACAAAAGACTTGTTGGGGGTCTACTCATGGCTTAGGAAAGTCATACACCACCTGTGAAAGAGATTCATATCTCCACTGCAAAAGTTTTCCATGCCACAGCAAATTCTTCGTGTTACTCTGTGAGGAATAATGAGTCCTTAAGGAGAAGTTTGGAAGAGCTCTGGCAACATGTTTTGCTGCAAGTGGCCATTTCTTTCTCCTGTTTAAAAAAGGACTCGAGTGTCCCTAGGGCTTACATGGACTACATGTTACAGAAGCCTAAATGCTGGTAAGAAGTGCCATGTGTGCCAACCCAAGTAGGATGCGCCTACTCACAGGTAGGTATAAAAGGATCACATCTGTAAAGATTAAGTTCTCTCCATACCAAGTAATAGATGAAATTGTTATACAGTAGCTCAAATGAATGTAGGATGAATGAAAGAGGATTTCAGTGACTATATGAAACAGTTATGAGCTGCGACTGAGATCTCACCCAAAAGAAAGAAAAATCAGATCTGCTAGGCTCCTCGTTATGGACCTCCAGGATGCATGCCAGAGGTCTGAAAGGAAAGCAGTAAGTTACAGAGCTGACCAACAGTGGCCTTGACCAGAGGTGATGAAATGTGAATTCTTCACTTAATTAATCTTAATTCAGCATCTGGTTAGGGCTGCCCATCTCATCCTTCTCCTGCACCATATGGGAACAGTACAAGTGCAGAAATCTGAAAGGTTCTGAGATATGCAAAATCAATCACAGTTCTGCAGATTGCTTTGCAGCAGAGTCACACATTCCATGCAGAGTGATCTCAGCACTTCTCAGTGGCATGAGGAGTATTCCTCTATGCAGAATACACCACGGATGGAGAATGATGATGTGTAAAAGAAAGAAGCAACCAAGAATACTCCACCCATCACCAGTTTGGCCCTCACACCACTCCATCAGTGTTTCTGAGTTCTCCCCAGGGAAGGGAACTCCATAGGTGATTTTGGCACGGCTTTTGCCTGATGAACATCATTGGCTTAGGTATGAACAGATGGTTATATAATTGATACATCATTTATCACCTGTAGGCTGTCCATATAAGGTGTGGAATTCAAAGCATTCTATCATCTCCCTCCAAAATTACCCCAATGTCATCTTCCTAATTTATATTAAAGAACATGGTGTGAACCTCTCTCATGTCAACTGAGACTCACACAAGCAAGAAATAAACACAGACAGAGAAGTAACCCTTCAATGACCTAGGTCTTGTCAGCTAAGTTTAGAAATCTAGAAGACATGTACTCATATATGAGCTCATTGTCAAGTCTCTTTTTATAAAATCAAGGAAGTAGACATAGGAACAAAGCAATTTGTCTGACCTATTTTAGCTGTCTACTTTAAACATTCAACTCCTATCCCTTGAGTATAGAGGAATTCTTAACAGCTAGCTCATATGTTGACATCTACATTGTCAACATCTGTATTTGGATGGAATAATTTCACCTCTAGTCTCTTCTCCAGCAATACAAAACCCAAATAGTAATGTTTGAGTTACTACAGAAGATTAAGAACGAATTAGTTTAATATGGTGTCAATAAACTGATGCTGAGATATTTAAGGTAACAGAGAAACTAACAGAAAACTTAATACCAAATAAGTCTCCTAGAGAGCAAGAGCACTAAAATCTCCCATACAAAGTAAACAGCAAATAACATTCTTATAAAGGCAGACAACAAGAACAGCACGTCTTTTCTATTATTTCTGATAAACCACTTATTATTTTTAGCATTTTAAATATTTTGGGGATGTCTTATTTACATGGAACTTTGTAAATGCACTGAGGTGAATGAACCTGCACAGACTTACAGAACCTGAGACTATAGCTCTATCTTTCCCTTGAACACCAAGAAGGCATTTATTCACCTTTCTCCCTCTGTGTGCCAAATGAAAAAGTCCCTGGAGTCCTTGTTTCCTCTCAACATGCCTGTTGTCAGTGACAAAACAGGCTTTGTATGGTAATTACATCAGGGGGCTTAATCAAAGAGATGGATTATCAGAAAGCTTTTCCTGCTACAGGGGACAGGCCAGCCCTTCCAGATACACCAGAATATCTTGATGGCATCAGCCAGAAATGCCACACTTCTGAAAAAGCTGATAAAAAGCAACCTAGCAGGATTGTGCACAAGGAAGGATCCAGCCAGTGCTCTTAACGTGCACTGATGTGTGGGTCTTGTGGGAAAATATTCATTGGTGGCATGTGCAAACAGGCTGTCTCTTCTAACCGTACCTGACCACCTTAACAGTAAAAAGCTTTATTATG